GATTCAGCAGTCGTCATACTACAAACATGGAGTTCTCTTTGCTGTTAAGTAAAACGTTTTAAGATGGCATCTACAGACCGTTACAGTGCTCCTTCTGCACATAATTTGGTGCAGCAACTTGAGAAGAGTATGAGAGTCACTGATGTACTTACTTTTTTACCAACCATTCTCATAAAGCTAGTTTGCTGCATCTGCTGCTTTCATTAGGAAAAAACACATGTATTTTAAAACTTAAAATAAGGAGATGGCCTCTTTTCTGCTTATTCTTTGCTGAATTCTGGTTTTAATTAAATTTTCTTTCTATCTTTCCTGCCATCTTTCCTCATCTCTTACATTCCTAAAATATAATACCTTAGAGGTAGGGAATGGTAGCGTAGCATGACATGTTATCTAGAAGTCCTGTGAAAGTAGCAATCTTCCCAACATGTCCGTCTTACCTTCCTTTCCCTTACCTTACCTTCCTTTCCCTTATCTCCTCATCTTCCTGTGTGTAGCTGTAAGGTCTGTGACCAGGGATTGTTCCATTTTGTGTTACCAAAACAGTTATATGTGGCAGATGTTGAACAGCAACTGAGATGAGTTAACCCTTAAACCATGAAAGCGAATAATAAATCTGTGGTGTGGGCTTTTTTTTGTGTTTTTTTTTATTTTTTTTTTTTCCATTACTTGTGAGAGAAAATAACTGGATATGAACTTTCTCATGCTGGTAACTTCCCTGATGTATGGCTAAAAATACATCTGCAGTTATACTCACTGGGAAGTCTGTGACTAGGCAGGATTTAAGATCAAGAGGAAGTATCAGAAGAAATATCAGTCCCATATGAATTTAGATGTTTTTCAGTTGAAGCATTAGACACTTGAGAAAATGTATATAGATTGTCTTAAAGGTATTGGTAACTTTGATAGCTGTAGGAGAATACCCACAGGCTTGACTTGTTGTAAGATAAAAGAACTACTGTATATTTATCTGTGGTAGTATGCAACTGACTTTTGACCCAATGTTCTAAAGTATTTTTTTCCTTCATAAACAATACCTTTTTTCATTGTAGGTGCCTCCTTTGATACAGAAAACCTATTCAGATCCTGACCATTGCCGTGTTGCAGCACCAATTGATGACAATGTGAGTCTGACATTTGTTCTTTCAAAGTTGACTCCTCTAAAATCAAATTAATAAATTACTTATTTTATGTTAAACTATGTATTTATTATTTTCTGATATTATACCAGGTACTTATAAAACAGTTCTTAAGTTCTTTTTAAAAAGAAACTTACATGCTTCCTTCTAGAATTAATGTCTTTGTTAGGACTAAAACGGTTTGCACAACAGTGGAATAACTTACAGCGTACATGCTACTGTGTTTTGTGAGTCAGGGGCCTGTTGTTTTTTTTTCCCCCCTCTTTCCTCCTGTTAAAAGATAGTGTGGTGCCAGACTGTTAGCATCATTCCAGTTGACATTTTAAGAATTCTGATTTTTGATGGAACCTTCTACGGGGCGTTTGTTTAATGGATCAGAAATAGTTTGCTATTATTTTTATGGAAAAAACCTCCAGAATACATTCCTAAATGATAAACTTTTAGTATGCAGCTACCTAAAAATATATAAAATAGTAATATTATAAACTCGGAAGCGAAGTTTAAGCTCTTGACATTATCACAAGCTATGGTATTTTGCTATTGTTTGCATTGAAACATTGATCATACATATGAAAACAATTGGAAAAACCTTTTATCTTTAAGTAGGACAGAAAGGCCATAAGATTGCCAGTGATTATATGCGATTTGCTTTGGTCATAACTCTGCACCTGTTCTGCCCTTCATGTTCCAGATTTTTTGATCAGATCAAAGATTTCCAGTTTGTCTTCCTGTGCATAACTGCTATGATGGCTTGGTAGATGTATTTTGCTCAAATAACATAGCCTTGAGTTCTTCTGGGTTTTATTTTCCCCCATTATTTTTCACTATATTAAACTGTATCTAAATTTGTAATTACAAGTGTATATTTTTGATACTTCTGAGCCTTCTGTTCTGCACAGGCAAAACAAAATAATATCGTTCAAGTATATGAGCAACTTCTCTGCAAATATTTCATTGATCTTCTGTTAAATGAATAGAAGCTACAATTCTTGATAGCTTCTAATTTAACATACCAAGTGTTTCTGAAAGGCAGATTTCAGATGTTTTAAAACCTTTCAACTCTCAACTGGTCTTTTAAGTAGTCAATAAATTAGACTAAAAATATGGCAGTTTGAATGGAATTTTACTTTCCTTGTTTCTGAAACATGGAGAAGCAGTACTGTAAAAGTCAGGCATGGATCTATAGAATTCCCAACTGAAAGATGAATCTGTGTTTCAGTTCTATATGAAGATGTACTTGTGTAGTCCACTAAAAAAAAGGTCCACATAGCTGTGAGATCTTGCTACTTCTTCCAGTTTAGGATTAACAATATAATGCAAACTACTACTTTTGTAGGTAGAGCTGTATCGGATTTAAAATACAAAACAAAATTCTGTATACTATGCTTAGAATGTATAAGTCCTTATAAAAAATAAAACCCAGAGAAAGTGCATTCAGTCTTCCAATAAATTGTGCTGAAGATATAGTAAGATTTTAATTTTAACTTCCTATTTTATAAAGTTTTAATAATAAATACAAATTTTAAATAATGAATCAAAGTCAATTTGATTTGTTGTATTTGAGATAAATGTTTGTAGTCTCTTGTGCAATACAACTGTGACTCCGAATGCTAGCTTTTTATGCAGTAGTTGAACAATACGTAGGCTTGTATTCTGGCATATAAGATGAACATGAGAAGCTGCTGTTATTTCTGTAAGAGAAATATTAATAACAGTTAAGATGAAAATATAATACTTTAATACTACAGAATTTAGTAAACTCAAATTTTAATATTTGAAAAAATGCTGACAGTTACTGCAAGTGTACACCATCCATCTTGAAAAACTTATACATGAATCTGAAACTTTAAAAACTTCTATTATATCCTCTGTTTTAGGATTTCTATAAAAGTTGGGTTTTGTAAGCCGATTTGTGTAACTTCTTCTATTAAATAGTAAAATGATGGTGCTTTTCTTAATCTACAAGCATAAAAGCACTCAATAGCCATGCAGATTGGAATGATATCTAAATAAAAGGTAGTTCATTGCAGTGAAGTGTCATTGTTCTCAAGAGGTTCTGAATTTGGTGCAGTGCAACCTTAAGAAAAAGATGCCAAAGAAAAGCTCCTTCCAGAGTTTTCATGTTAGGCAGTTGGAAGCACTACTACCAAAGGAAGAGGTCAAGTACAAGCTCTCTCTTTAGGACGTATTTATTTGTGTTACCTTTGTTCAACTTTGGTGAAATAACTGTTTCTTTTTGTCTTATTTTAAAAATTCAATGGATTTAAGCCTAGTTAATTTTTAATTCTCAATCTTTCCTTGCTATTAGTGATGTTATAGAATATTTTGGGAACATTTTTTTATTACAGTTAAACATAGAGGAGGGTGTTTCTGTCATTGTTCTGCTTATACTGAAGCATTTGACCTGTGAAGTAGCTACTAAAACGGTAGCTTTCTTGAACTGAAATAAAAGCTTACTGATTATACTTTCACTCACTTGATCAGGTGGATGACAATATTCCGCTGAGAGTAATGCTCCTCCTTATGGATGAAGTCTTTGATTTAAAGGAAAGAAATCAGTGGTTAAGAAGAAATATAAAAAATCTACTTCAGCAACTTATTAGAGCAACGTATGGTGACACAATTAATAGGTACTGCTTTTCTTATATAGTGCGATCATGTGAGTGAGACTATGTAGACTGTGTCTATAAATGTTTTTTGATATTACTAAATTACTGTGGTTTGGAACTGCATGCATCTCCCTTTGAAGAAAATAAATAGGCAAATGTGGTGTAAAATGGAAATAAAAACACAAAACATTGCTGAAAGACCAATTCCAGCAACTCTTATATTCCAGAGAACTTCCAAAAGAACTTTTGCATGTCAACAAGATTTCATGTTTCTGTAAATGTAACTTAATACTGATGGTGTCTATGCATTTTACCCTGTGTTTTACACTATACTTTTTGTTGTTAATACTATTTATTACTTTCGGCACTCTTTCTGTTTACATCTCTTTGATGCCATGAATGATATGCTGGCACTACCAAATTATGTGAACTGTACTGAGTTGCTGTGTCTAGTTTTTGCTCTCACGCTTTAAAAGATGGAGAGTGGGGAAAGGAAAGGACTGTTACGGAGTCTGTTCTGCCCCTGTCATGTTCTCTGTAAGTCACATGCCCTTTTTCATGCAAATGCAGAGCAAATTAGTGGTGCTAAAGGGATAATGTTTCTTGCCCTCAGCTTAGAAATCTACTGTTTCCAGGCTTTTCTTTCTAATAATTTGTTTCTGAAATGTAAATAAAAATACAGAACAAAATAATTTCTAGAAACAGGATTGGCACTAAATTGTCACTTTAGATTAGTGCCATGAATCAAAAACTTAATTTCTGGCAGGTGAGAAGCAGGTTCCTATTACTTTTCAGGATATTCCTCACTGTATCATTACTTTTTACCCTTCGCAAGTATATTTTTAATGTTTTCATCATCACTGTTAAACGTATAAACAGTTCTTGTGGTACCAGTACTGATTCCACCATGTAATAATAATAGCACTATGTCTTTTTCAAATAATTTCTCGTGGCCCGGTGATAATTATCTTTAGACCTGTGTTTCCAAAAACATGCTGCCCTGTTGAACAACTCTGAATACTTCTTGCTGTTTTCGGATTCTAGTATAGCCAGCTGAGTTTTGTGCACAGGCTACTGCTTTCTTATTGCAGAGATGTGTGCAGAACTATTCTACTGCTGCATTTGGAGCTATTCCGGGTGCTCACAGCTTCCGCTGTCTGACTTCGTCAGTCATACCTTGTCCTAGCAGATTCTTGGGGTTTAATGGCATTCTGCAGCAAAATTGTGTTTTCATGTTTCTTAGACGACTAAATTCGAATTATGTTTAGGGAAGTAGTCTGGGAATTATGGTGATACCCAGATGCATATATCATTTCTGTAAACATACTAGATTTGGATATTGAGCTGTGCGTATGTGTTTATGAATGAAAGTTAAAGTTTATGATCAGTCTGTATCTCATGCTAAAGATTATAATGTAACTACATACATAAGTATGATAATTTGAGATTTTTAGTAAATTCTTTGTTTAAGGAAGCCAAACTTGAAGAGTGCTCCATGAAGAGCAGTGGTTTACCAGCAGAACGTTTATCTAATGCTGATGGGAGATGCAATATCAATTTTTCAGCCTGCTTAGTCGTCGTACATTTACGCAAAAAGAAAAAGGCTTTAGCTTTAAGTGTGATCAATGAGCTTAGATTTTTATCTTGAGGATCAGTGTGTGCCTTCCTAGAGTGCAGTTTTGTAGAACCTATTTATGAAATTCGAGAAAGCTGAAATCGTGCTCTGTTTGCCCTGGAGTGTTCTTTAAGATGCTACAATTATTTGTTCTGTTTTAAATATTAAATGAGAGACTTATCGCTTTGATTTTAGAAAAATAGTTGATCACGTTGATTGGATGACATCTCCTGAGCAAGTAGCAGATGCAGTGAAACGCTTCAGGTATGTCTTTTATCGTAATTGTCAAATATGAAGTACTCGTCAATTGAGGGCTAGAGCACCTCTGCTATATAGACAGGCTGAGGAAGTTGGGGCTGTTCAGCCTGGAGAAGAGAAGGCTCCGGGGTGATCTTATCGTAGCCTTCCAGTACCTAAAGGGGGCCTACAGGAAAGCTGGAGAGGGACTTTTTATAAGGGCATGTAGTGATAGGACAAGGGGTAGTGGCTTTAAACTGAAAGAGGGCAGATTTAGATTAGGTATAAGAAAGAAATTCTTTACAATGAGGGTGGTGAGGCAGTGGAACAGGTTGCCCAGAGAAGTTGTGGATGCCCCATCCCTGGAAGTGTTCAAGGCCAGGTTGGATGAGGCTTTGGGCAACCTGGTGTAGTGGAGAGTTTCCCTGCCCATGGCAGGGGGGTTGGAACTAGGTGATCTTTGAGGTCCCTTCCAACCCTAACCATTCACTCCTTTTTACGTGTATTAAGAGAGAGAAAGTAATTGTTAAATGAAGAATATATTTGAGTTTTCTCCTCTTCCTTAAAAAGTTCTTTGTTAACCAGTCTAGAAGAGCTAGAGTATGGGTATACTTATGAATTTCATCATGTTACTGGATGAATTGTCCTGTTTACCTTGATGAAGGCATGTACAAGTCTTGCCTTAAAAGGCAAACAATTATTACTAAAAAAACCCCTAGCGCTAAGCTAGTACGTTTAACATGTGGGCAGATAAACAGAACTGAAGTACCAGTTTGAAAATGTCAAAGGCTCTGTCATTCCATTTCCTAAAAGTCTTAATGGCTTCTGCAGTATTGTTTCAAGAGCTCTCTGATCCTTGCTTTTTTTTTTTTATAGAGTGAAAGAAATAACGTAGGATAGCCTATTAGCCAAAAGATCATACTGAACGAATATTGTTATTCTTCAATAAAACCGAGTAAGAATGTGCGCATCTTACTCAGAAAATGGCATTCACTGAGGCAAAATAGCTTTTCGGATGCATGACTTTTGTGTTGGGCATTTTACTACACTGAAACTATTTCATCTCAGCTTTAGCTTGTTGATAGGTTAGCTACTATCAGACATCTAATTAAGCAATTAATAGACCTAAGCCTAGAGTCTCTCAGTGGCAATAAGGCTGCTTGGTAAAAGCAAATCGTAGATACGTTTTATGTATCTGTGGTATTTGAATGTTTTTGTTGTGTAATATTTTCTTAAAATTTTCTTTCATCTGATTCTTAAACTAAGAAAGTATATGGTAGTTACTAATAGATGGAGTATATTGTACTTCTTGCTTTTGATTTCTTTTTCACCTTTTCCATTTTCTGATGTTTGAAGTGTGTGTTAGGTTGTGTGCGAATTACCTTCTTCCATTTATTTTATGAGATAGCTTTCAGGGATTAAAAAGAGCCTTTCACTTGATAAAATTTTAATGTATTTTGACAGATTTGCTTTTGTTACAGAGATGCTTTTTGGCCCAATGGCATTTTAGCAGAGACTGTTCCACGGAGGGACAAAGCTATTAGAATGAGAACAAGAGTGGCAGGGAAGACCAAATTACTGGAGGTAATGCCAGGTGAGTGAGCCTGGGATTGAAGCCTAATAATCCTTGCCATATATTGTTACCACAGTTAATGTCAGTATTCTTGTCGATTGCTGAAATGTTGAAAAGAAATGTTGACATAGGAACTGTATTTAAATAATATTTATATTTAAATTAAATTTAATTATTAAAGCATTGAACATTTTCACATGTTCTGTGACCTTGCAAAATCATGTGTGACAGCACAAATAATTTCTGCTGTGAGAGAAGTTTTAGTTTAGCCATGTTATGTATAATAGAGGCACTGTTACTTCAAATTCCAAGCTGTGTAATTTGAAAGACTTAATATTCAGCTTAAATTTGTTTTTAACACAGAAGCAGAATTAACTTAAACTTTTGTGTAACTTTCATTTTTGTAGATGAACTGAAGCACATTATAGGTGCTGAGACAACACGGAAAGGCATTCTTCGGGTCTTTGAAATGTTCCAGCACACTCAACTGAATAAGAGAATGGTGTATGTATTTCTGGAGAGATTCCTAGAAACCTTGTTTCCACAAAATAAGTTCCATGAGCTCTTCAACAAACTGCATTCACGGTCAAAGCAGATGCAGAGGTATAAGCAGAGACTACATTCTTCTCAAGCGCCTTCCTTACAGAAGAGGTGACACTTCAAACGTATTAAGCTGGTGTATGTTTGTCCAGGAGTAATTACTTGGGCAGATTCTCTGGGGCTTCAAACTCACATGCTGTTATTTCTGCACCAGTCTTCTAGTGTCACATATTAGATTATTAATGCATCTGTAAGACCTGTGGATCTTCTCATCTTCACTTGTAATTCAACCACTACCAGAAGGGTTTATGTGTCTTAAATGATTTGGTGCGTCTTCATGCAACATTGAGAAGAATACTGGCCCAATATATAAGAATGCTGATTCCTTCCGTTCCTGAGTCGATGTTTTGCCAGCGATGAAAAGTGCCAGACTGTTCAAGTAAAGCACAACTGTGGTGATACAATGGAAGAAAAGGATGTTTTGGCACTGGGAGATGTGTGCAATGTGTGAGAATCGGGTGGAATTGTTTTACATTATGACTGTTGAGGCTCTGTAGGGCTCTTTTAACATTCCTGTAAAGGCTGAGCTAACAGGAAACGCGGTCTGTGGAACAGCAGGTTCATAGGAGAGGGGAGAAATAGTTATAGCCCCATCATAAAAGTACACTTATTCAAGAAAATTGAGGTAATGTGGCTCGTATGCCCCACTTATTTCAACTTTCATGTTTTGAAAAATAAACTAACATTAGATCTAATGGCAGTTTCAGTAAAGGCAGAGGTGCAGTAGAAATAAACCCATTATTCTGTAGCTTTAAGGGCCATGTTCTGCTCTTATGGCACCTGGCATACATTTTGCCTGTAACTTCAGTGGAGAAGGGGCATCATATTTATGTTCAATTGACGTATTTGAAGGAAGGGGGTACATGTTTCAAAGAGGAGAGACATCATGTTAGAAGATGAGGAAATTGCACTAAGACAGTTTACACACAACTCCCCATTCAAATTTGAAACTTTTTTTGGGTGTAAAAGACTGTACTACTTAATTGAAAGATTCCTTACCTTTTAGTGTATAAGCCTCATATGGAAAAATATTAGAATTAGTTGGTTTCTCGCAGGTAAAGGATTTCATTAGTCATATGCAAACACTTGGAAACTCCTGAATGCATCTCAGTGTATATATGAAAATAAAAAGGAGATAAAACTACAATATTTTTTTAAATATTTTTTTTATTTTTTGCATAGTGTAAAATTTTAATAAAAACTTGACATCAAGGCCCCACATCCATCTGTTTAGTTTCATTGATAAATTTCTGTTCAATTAAAAAGAAAATAACAACTGAATAATCCCGTTTGGCCACAGCATATCTCAGTTTGTGTTTTCTTTTTCATAGTCCCCTACTGTTTGAGCACCACTATCCAGGTGAATAGAAAGTAATCCTATAGAGTCCGTTGGCTTTGTTTTTCTGAACGCTAAACACAAGGTAAAGTACAGCTGGTGATCAAGGATCCTTACAGTAATTTGTGTCTTAATGGGAACAATGATTTTATGTGAGGGAGGAACACAGACCTTTCATGAAAGCGTTCTAAGAGCAGATAGAAGGCTCTCGGAGTACCTAGTTAAATTGACTGAAGCCTCTATATAGATCATTTTTTCTCATGGACTCTATTAATGCAATGTAGCCTTTTATCATACTACTTAATGATGATCATATTGTACTGTTAACATTCTCATACAGTATGCATGGGCTCAAGTGCACTTGTTTTGTTGGGTTTTTTTTCTTTATTGCAGAACTAAATACTGTAAATGAAATCCCTTTCTTTTATAATCCCTAGGAAGACATGTTGGTAAATATGTAAGAACCCTTCCCTCTTCCTCTCTGCAGGTTCTGTAGAAGCGTGATGATTAAGTGCTGTTGAATTTATCGAAATTCTTGAGTTCTGTGTGAAGTAATCACCATAGCCAGTTCCTATTGTTTACATGCCTGTATCTTCCTCTGATGTCAGGATGCTCAAGCAGACCTGACATCTGACTGATGAAAGATAGTTCAGCAGTTGTTTGTGGCGATATAGTAACTATATCGTTGGTCTTACCAAGTCTAATTTATGTCTTTTAAATCACTGAATATATTACAAATATGAAAGTGGAAAGTTCAAATGCTTTTTTTGTCAAATCTGCGGAACCTTTTATCGATCTGTAGGTACCATGAAAAATTTCAAGAGAACAATGATCATGTGCAAATTTGGGATTTTTTTTTTTATCTGGTACATTTCTGTACAAAAATAAAATAATATCTCTAGGAATGTGAACTGAACGTAATACACCATGTTTATCAGTAGTTTTACTTATTGAATTTATTACATATATATACCTATACACACATTTATATACCTGTGTGTGCATATGTATATATGTATTGAAGTTTTGTCTTCTGTATTTAATTACAGAATGTGGCTTCGTAATTCAGTGGTGCCTGTTGGCTGGCAAGAATAATCAGAAGGGAATATTTTTTGTTAAAAAGAGTTTGGACGTGTCTTTATTTAAATGGTTTTCCTGTTGACAATTTCAAATACCTGCTCTGCCAACCCATGCAGCCTATTATCCTGGAAAGTCTCTAAAACTGAATGTTAATATACAGCACTTAAGTGTCTGAGTGTATCTTCTGGCCTTTGGGTGCTGTGACTGGCCGCTGAAAATTGTGCCATTGTCAACAAATGCACTTGTTTTAGCCTTAATTATTTTTAAGAGAAAATGAGCAATTGAATTTTTCATTTGGTTCATCCTCAAGCTTGTGCTGCTGGTGTTTGCTAGAACTAAACAGTAAATTTTAAGTGCTACCAGAATGTGTACCAAAATAAAAATATATGAATTCCACAATCTAAATTTTAATTTTGTGCAATATTTTCATTTAATGCATGTGTATTTGAATAACTGTAAAATAAATGAATTTTTAATGTTTTGAAGTCTAGGTTGAAAATGTCTTCTCAGCTGAACAATTTTGCATTCTGTTGTTGTGTTAGTTTATTTAAGGACTTGTTTTAGAAGTCTTATTTGTTACTCCTTTGTTAATTCCCTTGTTGTCAGTGATCCTTGCTCATCTGAGCAAAGCTCATCTATTACAAGGGAAAAATCTGAAGAGCACATCTCATGAATATAGCTGTTATAAATTACTTGTGCATATCATTGTACAGTAAGTGTCAGCTGTGTGCCTAATTGTTCTATTGATGCTTTTTCCCCTCCCTTCCCCCTCCTCTTGTTTCCGTAACAAAGAATGAACATGAAGCAGGCTGCTGTGGTCGCTTCTACTGAATGGCAGAGGACTCTGAATTTTTTTTGGAGTTTGCATTTATGTTCTGTCCAATAGAAAGCTAAAAAATTACACTAATAAAGTATTAACAGGATTATTGTGAGTCTCTGTTTATTTTTAAAATAACTTTCTCCCTACCGGATACAAATGTTCCTCAAGTCTGGGGGGGGAAGGGGGGGAAATCACTAAAGATAAAAATACTGTTGTTAAGTGCTGTTTAAATAAAACAGTCATTCCTTAATATTTTTTAAGCAGTTTATAAGCTGGTTTTGCTTTTAATAAATTAATCTCTACATTTGTCTTCAACCAGTATTTGCAGAGTGTCCTGTATTTTAAAAGGACACATGCAGAAACAGTAGGGTTGTATGCTGTAGGAGTTTTTTTCTTTAATATTGTTGTGGTTTTTCACTCTTTGGCTTTTCCCCCCTGGGTTTATTTTAGCAGCAGCTGGATCTACCATGGGAGCACAATTGTTACCCTTGATATATTTATTCCAGCTGTTTCACATTCATCAAAAAGATGTCCCAGGCTACAGAGATGTTAGTTCTTTGACCCTAGGGTGAAGTGTTTACCATACCAACTTACACACTTTTGCTACAGGATATAGACACATCTCAGGAATTTCACTAGCTGCTTGTAAGTTCTTATTTGTTGAAGCTGTTATCCTAGGATAATTTAATGGTGAGAAATTCACTCTATTATAAACTTATTTTAAAAGAAGTCTTAAAAATATCTGCCATTTGCTAAGTGAGAGTAATATGGGTCTGTGGCTTATTTAACTCTCCAGTCTATCACATTATCTGATTTATATTGGTTTCGATGTCTAGTGAATGTGTGAGGATTGCAAAAGTTAATAATCAGCATCACCCTGCATTGGTTTAACTACAAATTTCATGATTTATCTCTTGGAAGAGAGGAAGACTGTATAATGAAAACAATGCATTCACTTTAGTTACATATTTGGAAAGGAATTAAGCTTTATTTTCATGAGGCATTTGAAACATCTATGCCACTGCATTCTCCCCTACGCGCGTGCACACACACGTTTGAATACTTTCATATTTGAGTGTCTCAAATAACCATTTCCCATGCTGTGTCTCTTTGCATTACTGTGGCATGTTGGGGTTTGGATAATCTGCATGGGTCACTTAAATTATTTGATATCTGGTTCAGAAGGGGCTAACTGGATTTCTTCTTTGACATTTTAGCATTGAAGTAGTACATCAATTAATTCTGAGGTTGGGCTTAAGTAGAGAACTAGACTATGTTCAATTTGTTGTAATCAAGAGCTACTTGTTGGGAGTACGGAATGTAGCTTTCGCAAACAGACTTGCTTTTTCTTACCATAACAGTTTTAAAAGTGAGTCCTGGGTAGTCTTTTGAGTCTGTGTTGTGAATTTTCTTAGCTTGAGATCTAGAAACATGCTAATTCTGAATCAAATTGAGAGATACTGATGGAATTTTCTATAACTGACTTACTGGAGTTCTATGTAAGAGATTCTGATAAAGTTGTGAGAATTGAGAACACTCTTCGTTGTTTAGAACATGAGGAAGATGGTTGTGTGAGTTAGCTAGCTATTCCATGCACAGAATAGCCAGTATTTGAAAGAAACTTACTTTTCTTGTTCTGTTTCTCAAAATGGCCAACTAGTACTAGAGTAATTTCTTTGCACAACTCGTCTCATGTTAGCAAGCTACAGGTTTCTTATTTGTCAGTTTGAAGGTGAAGTTAGAATTTTATTATCAAAGACAACGTTTTCCTTTTTGTTTTCAAGGACTTCAAACAAAATAATTCCTTTATAGTCTGTTTTGAAGATTGGTTTCACACCTTACCTACTCGGTTTTATATCATCTAGGTTGATTTAAATCACTGGCTTGCTAGTAATCCCTAACATCATTCTTGCAAACAAACAACACCTCATTATACCTAATGTAAAAACACAAGAGATATTTTGGGGACAAAAGGATAGGAACTTCAGTCAACAGTCTGCTCTCTTGCGCGATTGTGTCAATG